ACATTAGTTGAAACAAATGTATGAGAAAACAAATTAATATTAAAATAAATAAATATTTGGAAAAAAAAGCCTAATGTTGACCACAACATTGGTAAAAAATTCTAGTAATTTTGAAGCTTGGCCTAAAATAACACTGACAGTCATAAACTGTGATTACACCATTTACATCCAGTTTGAAGACTACGGAGTAAAAGAAAATTGCTTGCCTAAAATGAGTTGGATGCACTGATCTATATAACGACCAGATTGCTCATTGCGTTCTAATCTGCCATTAGGGAGTGAAGCCACCGGAAGTGTTCGAGCGGCCATATTGCAATTCCCTACTGACAGAGTGTATCAGTTTTTAGGATAGGTGTATGTAAATTCATTTCACTTCAGATGTTATCTGCAATGTTTATGGTCCTTTCAGAGCAGGATAAGTGATATATTGAAATCGTTTAGGTGGGAGTGTCTGCTTGGCACTTGCCGACACAGGTAACTGTCTGATTCAACACAAAACATATTTCTTCACGTTCGTAATTATGCATGAAATATTAAACATGAACATCTATCTGGTATTAGTATAAGAAATTGATTTGAATACACAATAAATATTACAATACAACATCTGAGCAACGTCTATTTCAAGATAGCAAAATCTATGGCGTAAAAGTATCGGAGTAAAGTTTTATGTAATGGGAATGTACAGGGAGACTGCAGATAGAAAAACACTGACTTATTAGCTGATGTTTTCTAATTCAATAGAATGCATGGGAATACCAATATGGCGGCGCAGTGGCTTCAATTTTATGACACCGTGAGCTGTTATAGATCAGAGGATGCTGCTTTTTGTGTGTTATGACATCAAGGGTTGAACATCAAGCATCAGGAAAAGCATGCTCCATTTCCATAGAAATACTATAAAAGCTTTTAAAAACCATTACCAGGCTGCAGTGAGAGGTTTTCAATAATTTCTACTGATTTTTTTCTTGTGAAAGTCATACAAAAAAAAAAGTTATTAGGAAAGGTCATCCAGTTTAAAAGCATATAGAGTTTACATTCTGACGATGCAACACCATGCTCTGGTCACTTCAGGTATCTGCTGGAATAGCAGTCGTGCAGGTAGAAACATGATGAAGCTGATAAATCAAGTGCTTATTCTCAGGCGCATCATGCACTGCTTTTTTTAAAAGGCACCAGTCACAATCCTGAAAAATAACACATGACCATAGGGGAAAAACCATGCTTTTAAGAGCTGGTTATATAAAATGTGTTAGTCTAATGGGGCAGGTTTCATTTAGTGTGAAAAGGGATCCGGGTTCAAATCCTGATTTTCAACAACTGAATTTAACAACTATGATCACCATGCATTTTCGCTTTGTGTAAAAGAGCAGCTTAGAGAACAACATGGGTTGAAATATGTTGAAATATGTGTATGAAATATGTTGAAATATGTGTATCAAGTAACAGATTTTTTTGTTGTTGTTGTTTTTATTAGGCTGAACAGTTAAACCCATTCTAGGGAAAATACATGAACCCACTCATTTCATTACCAATAACAGACTTAAAGAAATAGTTCACCCAAAAATAAAAATGAGCTAGAAGGCCATCTAAGATTTGTTTGTTTCTACATCAGAACATATTGGTTCCAATAGATCCTCTGCAGTGAATGGGTGCCGTCAGAATGTTCTGTCAAACAGCTGATTAATACATCACAATAATCCACAAGTAATCTACGCCACTCCAGTCCATCAGTAAAATGTCTTGTGAAGTGAAAAGCTGCGTATTTGTTAGTAACAGATACATCATTACGTTTTTTAACTTCAAACCATTGCTTCTGGCCAAAATACCTCTATAACAAGTCCTCTATAACATTGCTTTCTCCAGTGAAAAAGTCTGAATCAGGAGAGAAATATGCACAGGTCAATCTTTGTTTACAACTGAAAACAGTCCAAAAAAGTTGTATGTTGGTGGATTTTGATTTGAGAGGACAACAGGGGATGGAATCTTTCACTGGAGGAAGCATTATTATCGATTGTGGACTGGTATTTTATATACCGTACCACATATACATATACATACTTTAGAAATTTAAATAAATGATTAAAATATAAACAGATAAGTCAAAGTGGTTTTACAAGTTTAAAATGATTGCAATGTAAAGTTGTGACAAAATATTCAAGAATATTGTGCATTAGTTCACTTTAAGTAAACAGAGCAAAGTAAAACACTTTTTTTTTGCACTGGTTTGTAAACCAATTTTTACATATCCTTTAACTCGACATTATGTTTATGAATTGTGTCTTTCAGCAGCAATTTTATTGTCCTTTTGTAGTATTAAGAGAGGTTTTTGAAAGGCTTCTTCAATATCATTTCAAACGTATTACGATTGGCCCATAAGCTTATTAAATCTAATCAAGTAGGGATTTCAGCTGGAATGCATCCAAAACATTCCTTCCCGTTTGCCACTGGGATACAAGAATATCTCTAATACACTGAAGAAGAAAAAAAAGTCTTCTTCTAAAAAGGTAAATAAGCCCCTTAAAAAAATCTATATTCATCCATACTTGATTAAGGCAGAAACACTAATCTTTAGACGGAGGCAACGAGCGACCCAGTGTGTTTTTCTCGGTTTAATTGCACTTCTCCACAGAATCGTCGCTGCACTTCTTTCAGATCCCTTTGCGTGTTTATTCATAGCTGCAAAGGTTTGTGGTTCTGTTGTCACCGAAACACAATAACAAAAAATCAGTGCTGTCTGTTTGGCCCTGTGTAAGCGTCTATGAATTACACCAGCATTTATGTGAACATATTAAAGTTTTGTTAGCAACACAGAGCTCAACTGTTTGGGTTCCACGAACATCTGTGTCTGTGCAGATGTAATGATGGCAGTTAACCTCTTGATCACAGTTCCCATGACAACTGAAGTCCTGGGGTGCATTTCCCAAAAGCATCGTTAGCCAACTATGGTCGCAAGTTCTCTCGTTACCAACATAGCTCAACGATTCTGTGTTTCCCGAAACCATAGTTTAAATGAATATTCGCAAACAGCGTCGCAAACTTATGTGGTTGGGACTACAGCTCCCGACCTGTGGTTAGAAGCAGTTTCTTGTTAGTAAGACATATGGATTTAAATAAATTATACCTTTGGGCACAATAAGCAAGCTAACATGCAGTACAATCTATATCTTCCATTCAATTGAAATATATATACATTTTAATCACTAAATTTTAGTGCGTCCTCAATAAGCGCTGTTCAAACATCAAATAAAGCAAAATGACAGGGAACAAAACATAGTAAATTAGTCATCAGGTGCCATGTTCAATACAGCAGCATCTCAGAAATCTCGAATCAATTAATCAGCAGAAGTTATTCCTCCACCACATGCGTGTGACGTCATTAACAATGGCCCTAATGTGGTTCAAACGACGGATATGCAACCGTGTTCGGAAAACAGTCATGACTGGCTAGTTAGTTTCCACAACAATGCATCGTACTATGGTGGTTAATCAGTGAGTTACGTCGTTGTATGGGAAACACACCCCTGTTTGTAGCATGCTAATCGGCAGGAGGCACAACAGGCCTCTAAGTGCATGCTCCTTTGATAAGGTGGATGTCTTGTAGGATTGTCCAGGATAATGTACTGCTTTTACTATGTACACTCTTAAAAATAAACGTTAGATGATTACTTAATGGTAATACAATATTTGTGAACACAACTGTGTATGTCAGACCATAAATACCCCAAAACTATGCACGGGGGCTTGCTTTGATGCATCGTACTATGGTGGTTAATCAGTGAGTTACGTCGTTGTATGGGAAACACACCCCTGTTTGTAGCATGCTAATCGGCAGGAGGCACAACAGGCCTCTAAGTGCATGCTCCTTTGATAAGGTGGATGTCTTGTAGGATTGTCCAGGATAATGTACTGCTTTTACTATGTACACTCTTAAAAATAAACGTTAGATGATTACTTAATGGTAATACAATATTTGTGAACACAACTGTGTATGTCAGACCATAAATACCCCAAAACTATGCACGGGGGCTTGCTTTGATGTTGCCACCCCTCATAGACCCCATGCCACCCCTTTGCCACCCTAAAAATTATTTTCTAGATCCGCCCCTGGTTGGTCAGAACAAACGTGGCAGACTTGTTACTTACTTGTTCTGATGACAATATCCGTTGAAAATTCTTATTTGGGTCATATATTCCAAGATGTAGGCTAGAATCTGTGATTCCTAGCCTACGTGAAGTACAGTATCCACACCAGTGCGGTGACTGACTGCCACACATACTCCTCTAAACATTAGATTCATCCGTGCAGGAGCCCTGACGGTGCACAAACCACGCAAGGAAGATAATTCCGCAAATAACTGCAATTGTTTTCAAACCGAGATAGCGACAAAGAGGCAAAACTTATGGACTGCAGCTTTAAATAACCTTTTTTGCCTTGGAAAGGTTCTATGGATGTTAAAGGGTCTTCATGTAACCATCAATACCAATGAAGAACCTTTATTTTTAAGAGTGTACAGTTAAAGGAATAGTTTCAACCAAAAATGAAAATTTGCTGAAAATGTACTTACCCTCAGGCCATCCAAGTTTTAGATGAGTTTGTTTTTTTCATCAGAAGAGATTTGGAGAAATGTAGCTTTACATCACTTGCTGGATCCTCTGCAGTGAATGGGTGCCGTCAGAACGAGAGTCCAAACAGCTGATGAAAACATCACAATAATCCACAAATAATCCACACCACTCCAATCTATTAAACAATGTCTGACGAGACAAACTCATAAAGAATCAAAGTCATCTACATCTTGGATGGCCTGAGGGTGAGTAAATTTCAGCCAATTTTCTACTAATTTCTTACTAATTTCACTTAACCCTGTGGAACGTTTTATTACCCAGAAGTTGCTCTTTCATTGCTAAAAAGACTCTCAAATCAAAGTCTCACACATTTCTCCAAAAATGACTGAGGAGAAATAAATACAGAAAATATTGACACAGAAGGCCACCTAAATTGTTTACTTTTCTATGGGAAGATACAAACAGAAAAACTTCAAACTTGAAAGTTCTAGTTATGAATTTCCATTCGTAAACATACTGTAGCAAGAAGAGTGAGATGCTGGCTCAAAACTGCCCTGAGATTGGCAGTGCAGGCGAAGCATCAGCTAAACACTGGCTCTGATCCATACTTTTAACAGGCGTCCGAGCAGCAGAAACCACTGTGTATCTCTGGCATTAAGGTGACATTCTATATGGAGATTAATGCAGCCTGACAGGAATATTGATCAGCTAGTGCACATTTCACACCAGGGATTTCTGCGCTCCTCGGACAACTGCTACGGGACTTCTATCCCTCTAATCATTCTTTAACCTTCTCTGAGTGCAATCCAAAATGATGCATTGTATTTCCCTCTTTCTCCTTTCTTATTTAACGGAGTCATTTATATGTATACTTTTCAAATCAGGGTTAATTAGGCCAAGGGGCTTTTTCTCTCTTGCTTTCATTGTTCATGTTTACAAGTACATCATTTTCTAATTAAAATTCTAATTTTTTATTTCTAAACCTGTACTTTCTTCTATGGAACACAAAAGAAGATAATAACAATGGGCTCCCAACCCCATTGGAGTCCTTTGGCTTTCAAAACCTGGTGAGAAAGAAAAAAAATTATTTGGGTTCCACAGAAGAAAAAGTCATACTGATTTGGAATGGGGTGAACTATCCTTTTAAGATTTATTCTAAAAAAGAAAATTTGAAATCATCTTTTTCCAAAATGCGTGCCACCTGCTACAAATGAAAATTTACTGTGAATATTAATATAGTCATATGCCATATTACAGAATACTGGCTAAATTGTGCTGGTTAACCAGTTTTATATGATGAACATTTAACAGATAATCATATGGCCAAATTGTCACCATTACCTGAATATATTTATGCATGCAGGACCATATGAATTCAGAAAGCTCCTCTAAGCATTCATGCTCACTAAATATTACAATATTAAAAAAGAGACCATTCAGTCTACTTACCTAAAATATCTTGCAAGTTTTGGCTGGCTAACATTGTCCAGATAGCCCCTGCTGATAGATGTTAGAATTACACCATTCTGCAGATAAAAAGCATATTTTTTCCATTGAAGGTTGCTCAAAGTTGCAAGAAATCAGAATGATTTTAAAATGTTTTGCTACTTTTTTTTTTTTTACTGTAAAATTTTTAAAAAGAAACCAGTTTTGAACTTCTTTAAAGATTTAAAAAAATGTATTACAGTTCCACAAAAAAATTTTCTATCAGTTTTCAACACTGATAATAACAATAAATACTGTTTCTTGAAAATGCAACTTTGCCATCACAAGAATAAATTATTTAAAATATATTAACAAAGAAAACAGTTCATGTAAATTATAATACTAGTTTACAATATTTCAGTTTTTATTATTTTATTTATTATTTTGATTGAATAAACCTTGGTGAACATAAAAGACTTCTTTCAAAAAAAAAGTGCATGAATCAAAAATATATCATATTGTCATATAACTGGATTAAAAAAAAAAAAAACTTCTTATAAGCCAAAATGGCAGAATGCATATTTCACAAGCCAAACAAGTGCCAAGTGGGAGATGAATGAGAACGCTAACACAGCTTTCTCCAAATATTATAGATTAGATCTATTTTGGTGCAGACAGAGTATGTTTCTTAATCTTTGCTCTCACAAAAAAAAAACACAGATAGTAATTTTCTAACCCAATACACCTTGTATGCATTCAACTCCTGCTATGTTACACAGTCACAAACAAAGCACCTTGGATCACAGGAGTGGGTGCTTGCTAGCCTGGTGTTTGGAGGTTACGAGGTGTTGTTCAAATTGCTCCCCTCTTGTGGCCGTCTCCTCTCCGTAATGGAGCTTCCTGCAGCGGCGGAGCCCGAGAGATCCCAGACTCCTCTCTCTCAGCCCGACACCCTATCCGTTCCCCTCCTCCCCCTCATCACCCACAGCCAAACTACACCGTGCCACAACACAATAAAACAAGATGAAAGCCCTGCATGGAAAGTCAATACGAATCTTTCAATAGCTGCTCTCTCTCCGGGGACTGAGAAGGAATGGGATCATAAATATAACCCTTTCTTTCGCTCGCTCTCTTTAGGAAGATCCTTGGAGGGTATTGATCAGACTGTGGCTCTAAAAGGCTTTAATTGGCCATCTCTTATTAGTGAAAGTAAAAGGTAAGGGTGAGAGAGAGAGACAGAGAGAGAGAGACTCGCCGCCTCGCTCCACACACTTCCTCATCTTACTGCGAGAGTCTGTCTGTTCTCCAGTGAACATGTTAATTCAATGTAAAATGTTTTATTTTTATGCTATTATTTCCCCCGCAGCCTCAATCGTCACGTGGTAGACAGAAAACAAGAGAAAAACTATGCGTGTGGCCTCATTTCCACACAGAAACACCCTCAACATGAAAGACCTCAGCACAGAACGCCCTCCGGCTCCTCTGATGACTTTGAGACTTGTCGCTCGTGCAGATTATATCTGTATTCCTGTCATCTGTACTTGCAGATGCAAAACTGCTACACTGCAAACATAAGACTTATATTAATGTGCAGCTTCAATTAAAAAAATGTCTGCATGTTCTCTTAAATAAAAATGCTTGCTACGATGTTCCAAATTGTACAAGCCTGACATTGCAATATACTGATGTGCTTGTGATCCTTGCAAGAAAGAAAGAAAGAAAGAAAGAAAGTCATTACAAGAGACGGACAATTGTTGGTTTTCACATTTTGTAACAAGAATCTGTGTTTTCTGGGCTATCAGTTGTTAACTATTAATGAGGAAAAAAATTTACTTAAATGATTTTAGCAAATGGCTGCAATATAACAAAGAGTGAAAATTTAAGGGGGTTTGAATACTTTCCGTACCCACTATATGTGTGTGTGTGTGTGTGTGTGCCACGTTTTAATCTTATTTTTACAGTGTAAAGCCTAAATAAAAACAAAGTTTAAAAAGCTAATAAAATAAAGCTAATAAAACTATTAAACTATAAAAAAGCTAATTCAAAATATTAGTAAATATTATAATAGTAGCCTATATTATTAGCACTAAAATAAAACTGTTTGACAAACCTGATACAAATAAACTTTTTTTTTAATCACTGGTCTGTAAACATGCATTAGATATTTGAACATAGATCTTTGAAATACAAATCTTGAGACCCCAGCATTCTTTCCATTGTGTTGCACTACTGCAGCACTTGACCCCATAATACATGCCGATGCCATGTCTGATTGCCACTGATACCGAGTGTGGGAATATGTACTACCATACGTAAAAGGGTAATTATCAGCATTGCCTACAGAAGGGGTGTCCAAACACGGGTCCTGGAGTGGCGGTGTCCTGCAGAGTTTAGCTCCAACCCTAATCAAACACACCTGAAGCAGCTAATCAAGCTCTTATAGACATACAAGAAACTTCCAGACAGGTGTGTTGAGGCAAGCTGGAGCTAAACTCTGCAGGACACCGGCCCTCCAGGACCGAGTTTGGGCACCCCTGGCCTACAGCCATTGAAAAAAATACTTTCACCGGTATTTAGGCTTGGTGTTGGATTCAGGTGTAGCACTGGTATACTACAAAACCATTATTTGCCACATTGCCAGGGTGTTGCAGTGCAGTTGCTAAAGTGTTTTGTGTGGATTGTAGAACACAAAGTGCTGCTGGAATGATGTAAGTTTGTTGGTGAACCTGTAAGTTGGCATCACACCCTGCTGACAAAAAGCAAATAGGACATTTTAAATTGGAGTGTCTATTTACACTAAGTGCAAGTAGCCCGCCTTGTTGGCAGAGGCTATTTACATTAGCTCCACCCACAAACGTGTGATAGGGAGGGTCAACATTATAAAAGACAGTTGACTTTCATCAGCGTCAGTGGTGTATATGGTAAAGCGCGAACCGTTGTCTTTTATCGACCCGGGTTCGAATCCGCCTTTTACCAAACTTTTTTTTCTAACTTTTCAAATCTCATATCACATCGGAAAGGCATTTATTTTCAATAAAATTTAAGGAAATAATCAAAAAGTTTAAAATAAAGTATCGGGTAGGGTAAATAGCACTTAGTGTAAATAGGCGCTGCCTTTTTAAATTGGCTTTTAGATTATTGCAGAAAATAAGAAATATGACCAACATAAGTTTCTAATTCTTACATGCTTTGGATGTTAATATAATCTTCAAAAATTAACCCAGATTTTATTAATTTTAAAGCCTACATACAACTACTGTAAAAAGTTAAAGTAAGGCTATAAACAACTACTGTACACCCTGGTCGCATGGCTTCAGCGCCACCACTAGTCCGTGGGCCCAGGCCACAATTTTCACTAATTGGTACCACCCAAGGTGGCAAATTCTAGTATGATTTTTTTTTGTACATATCTCTAGATGATATTACAACATGATAACCTTTTGTTAGTGGTAGCTTTGTCACAGAAATCAGCTTTCAATGACACTAACCGTTGAGCCAAAGAATGAAAAAATCTTGTTACTTTATTTGAACAGAACATGTCATACAAAGAAAAACAAAATAATTCTACCTTGTTCATGAACTAAAATAACTTGAGCTTGTGCCAACTACTTATAAGCATTTCACCAAATCTCATTGACATAAAATGCTAATCGTTTCTGGGTTTTAGAACTCATTCCACACTCTATTGCTACGTGGTTGCTGGAAGGTTATTCAGTGGTCAAAGTCACACTCATAAGTCTCTGAGATATGGCTCTGGTCTCCCCTGCATTTTGCGTTATTTGAGCTATCATCTATGTCTTTAGCATGTTTAGTAATTGTCCAAAGTTGTACTGGAGCTTGCCATTATAGCTTCCCATGTCAGCGTTTTACTAGCACTAAAATTAAATTGCATACAGGTTCAACTGCTGGGAATATTCTGGGTTAAATACAACTCATTTTAATGCATTTCAAGTACACATTTCATCAGGACACGTGTTCCCAGTGACGGGTATTTCTAGCACCAGGTTAGCTACAGAAACATTGGAAAGAAAAACCTAAGCACACATGGAAAAAAACTTAAAAACTTAAAATCATTTCTTGAATATAGATTAGAGTATTTTATGCAGTTTCACCATCAGCAACAACAACAAAATTTTTTTTTAAATATTGTGCTTGTTAAATTCCTAATTGTCATGCAGAGAGATATAAAAATCAGGACACTCTGCAATTAAAATCAGAAATGAGAACCGGGCGGGTGAAATTAGACCGCAAACACAAAGTTGCCAAACACAGGCCAGCTATCTTATGAGAGAAAGAAAGAGCTATGTATTTCAAAAGCATAATCACAGCAGTATTCAAGGGACAATTATAAGAAATGCAATTTAGAGATACGAGCCTCCCGGCCGCTGACTATGTTAAAAGCTTTGAAGTACAGGTGAAGTGCAGTTACAATTACCATCCTCCTCTGTCTTTCCCTTTATTTGTATCTATCTATCCCTGTGCCTCTCTTCCAGCCACAACAACGCAGTCGGAATGTGTACTTGTTCCCCGAAACGAGCCATGCGAATCAGTCAAACATTCTTCTTCCACCGCTGCAGGCTGCAGAACAAAGTGGTGCACACCATTCCAAATTGCTGTGGCTTGTTGTAGCCCCTGTGGTCATGTTGTCACAGCTTCTCATTCTGTAGAATAAGGACGACTGATAAGTCACACTGGCATGGTCTGCCCCTTTAGGCCAAGCAGAATGTTCAATAATGCAATTTACAATGCCCAATAGTTGTTTCTCTCAAAAGGATTGTGCATTTAGCAGTGCATTTGCTATAAAAAATTAAAGTGCAAGGCGAGGTGTGTCATTTTTGAACCATTAACAGCACCAAAGACAATTTCAAAAACAGGTTTCATAAACACACCTTGTCTACCACTGTTTGGGCAAACAGATGGTCCTGGTATAGCCAATACTGTTGTTTCAAACCAAAATGACGGGAAACCAAGGAGTGTTAAATCAACACATATCATACATGACCACCTCCTGAGGTGACAGAAATTGAAGGTGCCTGTGAACAAATATAATGGATTTACGGGCCAAAAAAAACCCCAAAAAAACATTTAAGGTTAAGATTTA